CTCACTCAGAGGCTCCTTGGTACAGTTGCAGTGGAAATACTCTATATAATGTGTATAATGTCACGAATACCGCTCAAAGACAAATCATTTCCACATTGCAGAGGAAACATACATTTCTCCACATAAGCATGCTCCACATTGAGGGAACTCAGTTCAATTGCAACCCTCTCCACACCAGCCCTCTGTGTGTGTGTGTGTGTGTGTGTGGGTGTGTGTGTGTGTGTGTGTGTGTGTGCGCGTCAGTACTGATAATGCTGTCAGTTTGGATGGTGCTGTGAGCCTGCTGCCCTCCCTCTCTCCCTCTTTGACTGAATCCTTGAGGGTTTTCATCCTCCATGACCCCCATGTGCTGTAACGTGGGGAGGCTAGAAGAGGGTAGCATTGTATCACTTTCAACAGGGAGGTTGGGTGCAATATTTTGATTGTTTGCAGCATGACCGGAAATTTCTGTCTGGGACTGCATTGGAGTAGCACTGGAATTGGTAAGCTTGAGGCTGAAAAATAGGGAGGCCAGCCATTTGTTGTCATGCATAAGTATTATTTATTCATAGCATAAGGAATTCATGTAGCTAGATATTTTACTGTGTTCCTGAACTTCACGCTGAACCAAGGCAACATTGCTGCAGAAATAAATGTTTGGTGGGTGGGTTCTGATGACATCATGTAATCACCTGCCACAATTTCTCACAGCTCATAGTTGCCTGTTTATGACATTACTATTGGTTCTGTTGAATTGTTGCTGAGGAGTGAGGCCATGTATTTAATAGGGGAACATTTTTTGAGTAACTATTCTATTTAATTTCATCAGAAATGTCCGAAGGATTTGCTTTTGATGGAGACTTGCAGAGGGTTCCAAGCTGATAGGAATGACCCAGTAGGAAATTCCATTTCCCTGGACAATTCCTTTGGATTGTGCTATGATGGGGAAACCTCAGGTTCTCAGCTCAACTCTGTCCCTGCACTGGGATAAGGACTCTGTCAGGAGTGTGATGGAATACTCCCAACTGGCCTGCATGGGTGCAGCTCCAATAAACACTTAAGAATCTCAACATCATACAGAACAAAGCAACCCGACATTGACAAACATCCACTCCCTCCACCACTGACGCTCAGTGGCAGCAGTGTGTACTATCTACAAGATGCACTGCAGAAATTCACCAAAGATCCTCAGACAGCACCTTCCAAACCCACAACCATTTCCATCTGGAATGACATGGACAGCAGAAACAACACATCCTGCAGGTTCCCTTTCAAGCCTCTCACCGTTCTGACATGGCAATATACTGTCATTCCTTCAGTGTCATTAGAATTCCCTCCCTAAGGACATTGTTGGTCTACATAAAGCACATGGTTCAGGAAAGCAGCTCCAAACCACATTCTCAAGGGGCAACTAGGGACAGGTTATAAATGCCGACCCAGCCAGTGATGCCCACATACCACGAGTGAATAAAAAATATCATTTCATGGTCTGGAAACAATGGGACCCTCCTGTGGCCTCACTGAGGAGTTTTATTTATTCATAACACAAGTAATTTGTGTAACCAGGTATCTTACTGTGTTCCTGATCTTTGCTCTGAACCTAGCCAATGTTGCTGCATAAATAAATGTGTTTGTGCAACAACGTAACCTGCAACATAAAACCAACTTTATGGAAGTGATATAGAAAAGGTAGGTTATTGGCAGGATTGATTCCTTGAATGACATAATATAAGAAATGTACAACATAGATTAACCACAGGAGGATGAAGCTCCCAGATATGGTGAAGTGCAAATTCACAGACTTCCTTCTGCTCTCCATCTCTGGGTCACTGTGATTCTCTCCTTTGCTCTCACCTTTCAGCCTCTTCCGGACTCGACTGGTCACTAAAATGTGTCTGACCGTCAGAGCATTGAGCAACAGAATTAAAGCGCATGGCAGTAAAGGGGTTAAAACTGGATTCACCCAGTCTAATGTCACCCACCAAGTCTCAGTAAAGTAGCTGGACTTTGTTTTACAGTAGAATGGCACATTGATGATTATCCTCACAGGCTCATAGTGAAAATAGAAGGGGCTATTTTTCAAACAGAACAGGGTGCAGGTTGTTACCAGAACCACTGTCGCGGTTTTATCAGTTCAATATTTTGTTTTCACTTCTGACAACAAATAGTCACCAGTCAGTGAAAGGAGAAAGTGATGGGGAATCAGACAAAGCAGTCCCTGACTGCTTGACACTGGGTCCCAATAACCCTACACACAGGAGTGATGTCCAGGAAACATTATGGGTAATAATAACAGGGAAATTTCCACAGTACAA